CAACTCTACAGTATACCATCCAGAATTGTTGAGTTTAGGCAATTAGAGCTCTGTACAGAAACACCACTGCAACCATTGTATCACATGATGGCAAGACTGATTCCTTTGAAATTAAAGCAGGAGTTCTACAAGGTGACACACTTGCTCCTTTTCAGTTTACAGTTACTCTGGACTATGTTCTGCGTATTTCTCTTGACAACATGGAGGAAAAAGGACTCCTTTTGAAACCTCACCAGAGTAGTCGGTACTCTCTACAATACCTGACTGACATTGAATTTGCTAATCATCTTGCATTAATTTTTCAATGTATCAAAATGAAGAATCCTTACTGAAATCACTCAAGCAAGCAGCAAACCAATTGCAATGTGAGTAAGACATAATATATCACAACCTCCCCTGAACCATCAGAGTTGAAGTCACTTAATAATACATCCATCAAAAGAGTACTTCAAATATCATGGATCTCAGCAAAAACTTTAACATTTGCAAAGCTCTTGCATTTGATGCATGTAACAAACTTCACAAGATTTGGTGCTTGAACCTTCCATCCTCTTTAAAAGTCCAAACATTTCAAACACTGATTGAACCAGTCCTATTGTATAGATCAGAAACTTGGACATTATCTGTTCATCTTGAAAGATGACTGGATGGAACATATACAAATCTACTTAGAAAAATCCCAAACACCAGCTGGAGATCCTGTGCAACTCTTAACACAATTTATAGAAAAATGAGATCAATCTCTGCTGACAAGGAAGTTGTCTCATCCATAGTTCTATAGCATCCTTTTGGAGGTGTCTTCTCACGAAAGTTGACACCATGGCTCGAAACTCAGTGTTGGACAATGGGGATCTGTGGACGGCAATGCAGGACTGAGCAGTATGGAAAGGGATTGTTAATGAAGTTTTGACCAACCACATGGAAGTCAAAGGATGATGATGATGATGATGAGTGTATATTTAGACTCAGTGGAAATGGAGCAAGCAATAACTTTATTAGATCATTGGCAAAACAAAAACAATCTACCTGTAAATTAAATAAATGGTTCAGTTTGAAATTCAGTTGAAGGTTACTCAGATTGACAAGCACCTGATGAAGGATGGGGGGGAGGCACAACAGCTAAAACATTGTGATAATAACAAAAAAAAAAAGTCTGTATGTAAATACCGAAAAACTCCCAATCATCAGATTTTTCTCTCAATGTTTTATATATTTGATATTTCTATATAAAATAAAGTGTGAAGAGTGAAGGTTTTTCAATTTCATGCCTTTTCAAAAGAATCAACAGGAAATGACAATGGATACCTTGATGGACCTTCATCCATCTGTCCTTTTTTAAAATGGACATCAGGCACCATTTACTTCTCCACAATTTAAGAGAGAGGCAAAACAATCTGCTTTGTTGGAAATCCATAAACTTGTATAAAGTATCCACAAAGCATTTCTCTATTGCACAGATTATTTTTAAACTAAAAGTTTGCAGATATTCTGCCAATAGGACAATAAAGGAAGAATTGATGTACATGTTTTAAGTGTGATGCTGTAACCAAATTTCTACAAGTCACCAAAAAAAAATAAATAAATAAAAAAAATAAATTTTAAACCCAAATAAAAGACAATTCAAAAGATTGGAGCCAATAAACATTTACAGCAGTCTAATTAAATCTATGCAATATATAAATGTTTATTTTTCACATGGACAATAAAACACCAAACAAAGTAATTGTTTTATAATAAAATAATTCACATCCAAGTAAGTGTCTAATGCAGTAGATGTCTGATAAGATGGTGAGTTTCATTAACACAAAGGTACCTTTCATAATGCTTGTAAAATTTCATCTATTTGGTGCCTTCATTCCTAATAGTCATTTCCCTTTTGAAGAGACATGAATTCTGAATCTTTTTTTACAAACTAATTTCTAAATTTATCTGGAGTTTCTTGATGCTCTTCATTTTAACAAAACATTACAATATATTATAATAATAATCTACATAGTGTTGGACAATAATGATAATTATATGACACAAGAGCTAGAAGTATGAAGCAGCAGTAGCAACTTTAGTGAGAAGTTAGGGTAAGAGAAGAGAGTTCATGTCACTTCTTGAGGAAAACGTGATAGCTTTGCAGAGGTTGTTAACAGTTAAATGTGCCATTGAAAAGACGTGAAGGAAGTTATAAAAGTTTTAATGAAGAAATGGAATTAACATAAAAGGTTAGGTGGAGTGAGTGTGTGAGAGAGAAAAGAGAATACTAAAAGATTTAACAGGAAGTTTTTGAGAAATTCATTTTGAAAACATTTTCAAAGGTAAGCAGAATTTTTATTTCTTGCTGAAAAAGAAAAGAAAAAAGCATGAAAAAAGTGAAAGAGAAAAGTAACTTAGTAGACTTTATTCTTTTTTAGTGTAGAAATCATAATGTATACAAATGTATTTTCCTCACAAAACTATTCTTTCTAGCTCTGTAAATGTAGAAAGACTTCATGAAAATGAAATTTGCATATAAAATAAAAATAATTATATCTTATATAAGTATGCAAAACTCACAAAAAGTTAAAACATTAAAGTGAGAATCACAAACTAGTTTCATTAGTGACTTTGATACTTATCAAGTGTTATTATATAATTGTGACTTTGATCCTTACTAAACAGAGTTTAATAAATGATACAGTTAAAGTGGCTAATAAGCTAGTCTCATTAACCATTACAACAGTAGTGAGTTCAATTTTGCATGTGGGCACATTCATAGTTGTGACTGTTCATAACTAATTTTAGTTAAGATCAATAAGAAGAATTCATTGAGAAAAAGGAAAAAAATGATTTCAGAAGCAAAGTATTGTTAAAGTAAGATGATAACCCCTTGACCCTTAAGATACATGTGAAGGGAAGACAGACCCTGGCTTTGGTTTCACTTGGTTTATTCTCATCGTCTGGGGATTTGCTGCTTCCTTTTGAGTCAAAGAACGACGTTCCTTTTGGAAGCTTCTTCTCTGCAATAAATGCTAATCTCTTTTCTGTGGCTGACCATTCCAAACTTCCAAACTGACCTGTCAAGAACAAAAAAAAAAATTTATGGATTTTTTTTATTGGGTTCATTTTCAATTATTTTTTTTCATCAGGCAATGAAGTCTCAATTGGTAAACCATTTTGACTATACACTCATCCAAATATAAAAATTTGAAAAAGGACAAATTTTTAGCCAGTATTAATCTTCACATGCTGTATAACTTATGAAAAAAAGAAATGTAACTTAACAGTCAATTTTTTTATCTGCAATTATGACATCAGAAAAATAAAAATGTTAGACATTTTGTGCAGTAACAAAGTACATTGGTTTGGGAGAGTTTTAGGCTTGAAGTATTTCCACCAGGGAGTAAATAATACACTAAGGAGTTAATATTTTTAACAATGTAATCCCAAGGAGGCATCATAATAAAGTCAAATAAGAATTTCTGGTTAAGATGGTATATATTTTATTATTTATTCATTGCTGTATTGGGCCATAGAATTATATATTTATTTGATAAAAGAAGGAAAGCTTTCAAGAGAGCTAAAAAAAAAAAAAAAAAAAAAATTCATTAGACTGTATATGATAAACAGAACAAACAATGGAAAAGCTCCAAAGAAATAAATCCATACACATGTAAAAAAAAGTTGTTAACTATGGTAAGGGTGTATTGAGGTTGGGGGAGACACCTAAATGATAGCTCTTACAGCTGCTAGAGCACAGGTAATAGGTAAAGAAAGGAAATGAGACATAACAAAATGACACTGCCTCAGAAGGCACAGCAACTTTAGATACAAAATGCCCATGGGACCAACTTCACAAAACACAGAGTCTTGGCTACTGCTGACTGCTGCTTTTCCCCATTGCTTTTATTGACAAGAGATGCTGGTAGAAATCTGGATTGAGATAAGTTGCAGAGAAGCCCGTGTTTGAACATACTAAGCTGTTCTGCTGCTAATAGGGGGAAAACCCAAATGTAACTGGTTTTGACAGACATGTCTGCATGCAATCCAGGGCCTCTTTTGTATGTGTACCAATGTGCATTTGTCACAAGACTGCCTTGTTGAAAGGGGTATAGGAAAGGAATCCAAATTGTTACTGAACCTTGAACACTTGATAGTGACTAAGATTTGTTTTCTCAAATACAAAGAAGACATAAACCTCAGTGAGTCAAAATCAGAAAAACCAAATTTAACAAATGCATTGTTCATTTTTACATGAAAGCTAAATACTAATCATTGTAAAATTTATCTGAAGATTTATTTATCTAATAGCATCAAGAAGAAAATTAATCTCTAATATTCATTGGGAGGCATTTTGAGGATTATGAACAATGTAGGAATGGATTGTGGCTAAGATGGATTAATATCTAAAATTGTGCATATGATCATTCAAAAGGCATTACAAAATAAACTGGTGCACTTTGAAAGAAACAACTTTACCTGTGTAGATGTTTATACAGCCTTTCTTAGTTTGGCACAAGGCCAAATGGTGGAGGTGACTGAGAATAAGAAAGTATTTCAAATGAGAAGAGCTTAACTGTTTTGAAAATTGACATTCAAATTCCCAAGTTTTATTAACACCTGAACCCCATGGCAACAGTAGAAAATACACAACTCTTTCAGCCACCAGGCAAGAGAGTGTGTGTGTGTGAAAAGAGAGCGAGTGAGACTGCCTTCCTCCAATTATTTTTTGGAGATTTAAAAAAAAAAAAAAAAAAAATTGTAATAGATAATTGTAAATGATTGGGTAAGAAGGAATTTCAAATGGAAATCCAGAACACAATTTGCATATTATAAAGGATTAAGACAACATTAAAAATTAGGATTAGTTTTCTCATTTAATCTTTCTTTGCCTCAAATTGAATTGCTTTCACGTTTCAAGGAATCAGTTTCTCTTTTCAAGAGTAATTAGTCCAAAGTAATCTCGTCTCTACTATTAGATTTTTTTTCTTTGAACCTGCCTCCTCAGAATAAAATATCCAATTTCCTCTTGCATTGTAAACATGAAATGCACTCAATTGAGAAACTTCTGATCCAGATGTTTTACTATGACAGACACCTGTGACTATGTAAACATATTTGTCAATCATGAATAGTTTAGTAGGGAAAAATGTCAGATTTTATTATGGATGGATGTTGGATTTAACGGCATGTCAACTCCTCTTTTATTATGGAAGTAAAAACTTTCACAATAAAACTAGTATTAATAAATCAGTGTGGGTAAAATTTTCAGGGTATATTTATATGATAAATAGACCATGTGAGTTTTAGTTTATATCTGTTATTAAAAATACTGATAAGATAACTTATTTTAGGGACTTCAGGTTTGCAAATTACAACATAAATCTTTATTTATAAATAAATCTAAAATATATTGTTCAAAGAAATTTATTTTATTAACACCTAAATAATTTAATATTGTATTATTTTACCTGATGGTCTCCTTGACATTCAGTTTCAAAAATGTTGACTTTAACATTACTTACAGCTTTTTTTATTGCTTCCCATATGATCATTGCTTGAATATTGTTTTCCATTCTCATATACATCTCTTAATCAAGGATGACAATTTTTCTCATGGATTAATATCTGGACAGGCTGAGGGACCATTCTATTCATTTAGTCACTTTGAAAACCTGTTTTGCAGAATGTGAAGGAGCATAATCATGCATGAAGATACATTTCTAGGGAAATGAAATAGTTTTCAGTCATATTTGATAAATACAATATCCCATATATCTGAATAAATTATTAGTTTATTATTTTCTATATTAATATGTGCTACTTTATATCCTATGGTCTTCCTTTACTGCCCAGCCATTGATTTTCTATAGTTTTTAATTGCAGCTTTTTTTTATTGCTTCCCAATGATCTTCTTTGCTTGAATATTGTTTTTCATTTTCAAATACATCTCTTTTATTGATAAAATATTGTTTTTCTTCTCCAAATACATCTCTTTTATTGATAAAATATTGTTTTTCTTCTCCAAATACATCTCTTTTATTGATAACATATTGTTTTTCTTCTCCAAATACATCTCTTTTATTGATAAAATATTGTTTTTCTTCTCCAAATACATCTCTTTTATTGATAAAATATTGTTTTTCTTCTCCAAATACATCTCTTTTATTGATAAAATATTGTTTTTCTTCTCTGGTGTATTTGACACCATTTTTGGCTTTTTTTATTGCTTTCCAGGGATTTCTTCACTTGAATATTGTTTTCCATTTTCAGATACATTTCTTAATTGGGGGACCATAAGTTTTCTCATGGATTAATATCTGGACAGGTTGAGGGAGTATTCTATTCATTTGGTCTCATTGAAAACTTATTTTCAAACAAGTAATAAAGCCACTAAGATTCAAGGAATTACTCTGTATTAGAGAATATACAAAAAAAAAAAAAAAAAACTATTAAAGAGAGAGAAGAATACTAGACAGAAGATAATGATTGACATTGACTTGAAGATCAAAGTTAACTGAGAAGCAAGAAGTTGAAAGAGTTCTATAGGTGAAAAGTGCAATAGAAGAAACTATTAGCATAGAACCTATAGTTACATTTAGTCATTTCAACTGTAAAAAGATACACTTAAATTCAAAAAGTATAGGTACCATAGAGGAATGTTCATCAGAACATATACCATGAAATTATTTATAGAAAAGACAGAGGGAAGCTATGTTACAGCAGTAGGAAAGGGACTGAAACTGAGATGCCAGGTCAGGGCCAATAACATTGCAGATTCTGTGGATTTTATCAAAAATCTCTAAATATATAGCCAGGGCACCAGACTAGATGTGGCAGAAATATTCAAAGCATAGATGAATGGTAGATTTATAAATATGTAAGATAAATTTTGGCAAGAAAAATTGTCTAGCTTAACACAGTGAACCAACTTTCCTAACAAGCAGACCTAACAATTGATTCAATATAATCTTTCCACTTCATGTCACAGAAAACATTAGTTCAAAAAGGTGCAATGAATCACTCTCCTGGAGGTTAGCATCAGCCATACTGATGGATGGTAAGTGAGTTCTCTCAGACAAAAAGCAGTTTTGTTTTGGAGGCATTAAAATTAACAAGCCATTCCTTGCCCCGGTTAACATCAGAATGTACATATTGCCAAATCTGACCTTACTGCACTTTTAAGACTTACTATTATAGCATGAATAAATTGTTGCGTAATAAGCATAGATAGAGTTGAGAACTAATGCCATCAGGAAGGTTGTTGATGGAAATTAGAAACAACATAGGTCCATGTTGGATGCCTAGAAGAGTGGCCATTTTCATCCAGAAATACCATTAACCTTTCAACTTGTGAAGAAGACCAATATAGCAAACCCTGTCAAATGCCTTCAAGATATTCAAAAGCAACAGACCAAGCATTACCAATCTTATCTAAAGCTTGACAGACTCTTGCAGCAATAATTATTAACACATCATCAGTTGACCCAGAGAAGCAAAAGCCATATTGCTTATCTGAAAGAAGATTCTGTGAGGTGAGATGCTTAATCAATTCAGAAATGATCAGAGAATCTACAGCTTTGCCAAAAAGAGGTTAATAGGTCAATAGAAGGATCAGATGATTTGCCTGAATGGCAGATGGTGATTTGCAGCCATGCACTGTTTAGAGAGTTACATATCTTAAAGACTATTGCAGGCACACCATCAAGTCCACATGCTTTGAGAAGATCTAATTTAGAAATGATAGCAGAAACCATGGATGGAATTATATGCTTATCACTCAATAGGGACTCAGATCTAAGTGGAAAGTCAGGCAATGATACTCCAGATGAATCAAGAGTAAAATTTGAGAAGAATTTATGAGCAAAACATTTTGCTTTATCAATAGGTTAACACCACCTCAAACTGAGTAAAGAGAGGAGGGATGAAAGACTTACTCCTATTTATGATACTATTACAGAGCCACCAGTTGTCATGAGAGCCAAACTTGTTAGTAGCTATGAAGAGACTCATTTTATCAGCAAACAAAGACTTAGTCATTTTCAAGACATGTTTACAATTCTTATGAGCTGTAACA